ATACACACACATAAATACATATACACACACACATACAGTTCCTTCTATTTATAACTAACCTTCATTTAACCAGGCAAATCCCATTGAGATTAAAGATCTCTTTTACAAGGGAGACCTGGGCCTGGAGGCAGCTTGTGCATGTTTTAGTCTGCGGGAGAAACCGGAGTACCCGGAGAAAACATCTGCAAAGACAAGGAGAACATGCAAACTCCACACAGAATGACCCGAGGTCCGAACCGAGTATCAAACCCAGGACTTTCTTGCTGTGAAGCTTCAGTGCTGACCACTGAGCAGTAATGCCCTAACAGGACACTTTTGGCATACAGCCTGAATACACATTGGAAATGACATATTATAGTTGTGTTAAAACATTTTGAAACAACACCGTAAAAATATAATCTCTTACATGCATAAAAATTGTCAATCAATAAGTGTAACTTATCTAAATGTTAACTGCAAAATGGGGTTCAATATGCTCCTCGGTACAATGCCTGCACTGTAATCAAGTATTTTTTTTTACTATTATTAGTTTTAAATATACAACTGAAGAGTAGACAAGTATTTTTCGTGACTCTCCTTATTAACCCCAGAAAATCAAAGGTACCAGCGAACATATGGCTTTTTTTGCACTGACATCAGCTAATGTTGCTCATTCATTGGTCCACTGACCAGGCAACTAAATGTTTTTTTTCTCAGAAAAAAAAAATAGATTGATTATAAATGTAATGTATAAGCTTCATAGACAGTGATACACTGAATAGTTTAACTTTTATTTTGCTTAACCCTAAATGTGAATGATTTGAGTAAGATTTAAAGAATGAGGTTTATTATTTGTTAATAGCTGGTGTGATGAACTCATTTTGTTCTCTGTTGAAGGTCATCAACATAATTCATATCATCTCCGTTCAGATTATCCCAGTAATGTTCAAGATCATCTCTAACTTGTAAACCAACAATGTGCATGAACCTAACTAATAAACTAAAAGGATGAAGGAATGGGGTTGGCCAGAATCCTCTGATGAAGTATGCCTTATCGAGTTTAGGCAGGCATTGGAGAAAAAATAATATAACTCCACACACACTACATAAAACTACTCTTGTATGTTTGTATATTAAAAATGGCAAATATTGGTCCACTGACTTCTGGTTACTCATTATTGCCCTGATCTGATTCAGGTCACTGAAGCTGCCTAATAATTCACATCTGAGTTTTCACTGATAACAAACTTTACTGATGATGTTCTTTACCTTTTGATTCAACTGTTTTTTCTTTTGGAAGGACAGTTTGTCCTTCCTGTGCAAATAAAGCTGGGTTCAAATTGATTTCTAGTTTGTATTTTTTTATTGAACAAACTACTGAACAATAACAGCAACAACCTTAGCTTTTTATTTATTCATTTATTTATTGGTGAAATGAATTGCCTTCATTTATAAGGAGAATATTTTTTTTCGGAATGTCAACCATTTAACACTCCAAACACTGAGTCACTCTAATAATTTAAAATTGCAGACAGATGGGTAGGTAAAAGCAATCGAAGATTTAATGAAGTACACCAAAATGTCATGAATAAGCAGGCTTACTCCGATTGGAGCCAAGGTAACCAAGAAATGTTTTGTCTGGTGGGTGGGGGATTGATTAGTGAGTGAGAACAGGTGAACTGATAACTGATGAGACACAGGTGTGTAAGGTGCTGAATATCCAGATGAGCTGAGATGAAAAAAAAAAGGGGGAAACAAGAACAAATTTTCATTTATGACTAAAACCAGAGTGCAAAAAATACATCATATCAAAATTTGACACAACATACAAAAGAAAACACAAAACCCCACCTGCTGGCAGTACCTGTTTTTATACATTTCATCCAACACAGTGTCTTTATTATATTTCCAGAAATACCTTTTGGCTGAATATAAGATTGTAAGACTTGGTACGCTACAGTCATTCATACATTCACACACTCATGGTGGTAAGCTACATTGTAGCCCCAGTCTGAGATACTTAGATGGTGTGTTTGACCAATCAGTGTCACTTGACAGTTGTTTAAAAGAGTTGGTTTAAAACAGTCCCCCCACACATACTTGGAAAACATTGCCACGTTAGGAAAGTTTAAAGTTTGTGTCATAACATGAGTTTGATAATCATCGTGCTTTTATTTCCCCTGGTGTAAATTACTGCACTTAACAGGAAGATTGGGTGTTTGATCCCAATCCCTTCAACATGTTGAAGCATCCCTTGGCAAGACGCCTGACCACCCCCACCACATTGTTATACATTTAAGTGATTCAGTGTGGTATAAAAGTGCTGCAAAAATAGATCATAAAATATGTAATGGAAAGAATTGTATGAATACCTGGTTTTGGACATTTTCTGGTATAAGCATTGTAACAAGTATTTGGATTAAAGCCTGGTCTTAATATGGTGGACCATCATCTTTTGGGTTAAAGGCTGGGTTTAGGTCTAAGATGTGAATTAAGTTTAAGTTAGCCATGTGCTTGTAATAGTYATGTACATTCAGGGTTAAAGTCAGGGTTGTGTGTGTCTCCAGCACACACGCAAGGATGAGAAACATTTGGCAGAGGCTGGGCCATGTTAAAAACCATTAAATAAGTGAACGCAGGTCATCTGGTCAGGCTTCTCTGTATATTTGTGAATTGTTAAAGCCTTATACTTTTCATCTAACCAAAGAATGTTCAATTCTGGGACTTAATTTAAAACCTGGCAGGGTTCAGTTTTTTTCACACTGTGGAATGACCTTCGTCTGGTTTTCCATTGTACTAACAGTGTCAACTCCTTCGGAAAGCAGCTGGAGACTGTTTTTATTCAGACAACTTGTTTTTTTTTTTTTTTAATGATTGCATGCCTGTTTGTTTTATTGTCTCTTTTTTGGTATTGTATGTCTGTTTCTTATTTTTATGTTACTTATTTTATTGTTGTCTGTCTTATTGTATTTCTATTTATCATGAAGCACTTTGTGATTTTCTTTGACTGTGAAAAGTGCTATATAAATAAACCCTGCTAGTTACATAAAATTCAGTCTAATTATAATACAATTAGATGTAGTGTAACATGTCAGTTAGTTATCTTCGCTTCGCTACGCTGCAATCCCCCATCCTGAGCAAGCATGGAGGAGCGGGCAACAGTGGAGAAATAACTCCACTTTAACAGCAGAACCAGGATGGGYGGCCATCTGCCTCAACTGGCTGGAAGCTGAGAGAACAACTGGCTGGGGGTTGAGAGAACTATTTTACTGAGGAAATTATGGAAGGCCTCTTTCTCATAACCGCACACAATCATCAGTGAGATCAGCACCAGTGGTGTTTGAAGGCCACAAAGGAGCTTTATTTGTGCATGGATCTTTTACACAGAACACGGAACAAACAATTCTTCATCTGCCTGATCAGACTGGTGCTCCTGACTTCTACCCCCACTCTCTAAAGCATAAGACAGAGCTCAGTTCAGTGAGTAACAGCTTTAGAAAATTGTTACTCCAAGTGTTTTACAGTGATTATGAGCAAACAAAGTAATCATACCAGCACACGCAGGAGCACAATATTATTATGAAAACAAACGGACATATTTGACTCCAACTGACCCATTCGTTGCAGAGCTTTAATCCTCAGACTTTCCATTCAGCTGTGGTACATGTGATCAGATTTTAAACCATCAGTTAACACGCCACAAACATGCAGAAAGGTCCACTTTACAGGTGTGGTCCTGATGAGAGCAGTGTGGCATGGCTCACCAACATGCAAAGTAACGCTGCGCTGTAGCACCAGCGATTGGCTGAGAAAACAGCCCTACCCATTTACCACTTCCTGCTGGGGCTAGGTGGTATACCTGAAGAGAAAATCCTCTTGGTCCTTACAGGTGTGGTTCAGAAGAACCAGGAGAAAGTGCAGCCATGTCAGAAAAACAAGACACACCTCTGGTGAGTATGGATTATAAGCCCATTCTCTCTCTTTTGTTCTCTCTTTCATTTTAGGACCACAGAGATGTCGATATGTTGACGTTTTAGTTGAGACAAAAAAAAAGCTTTCTGAATTTGGTGAAATGTACAATGTAAATGATGGTCAATGTTCACAAAAGCACTGTGATAGGTCTGTGTATTTTCATGGTGTGAAGTTCTGCAGGGTTTCATCTTTAGAACATGTAATTAAACTGCTGAGTTCAGTTTTATTTATTCACAGTAATAGCAAAGTTCAAGTTATCTCCAGGGATGTTATATCTAAAAGTTATGACCTTGCAGTATAATAAAAAAAGAAAACTCCCCTTGGAGCAGCTCTTGGCAACAGAAGAGGAAAAAAACTCTCTTTGAAAGAGAAGAGTCAGGGACTGTGGCTAGATGTAATCTATCTGTAGATAGCATAGTTGTGCTTTTAGAAATATTCATTGTTCCATTTTTGTTGCCTTTTTATGATTTTATTTTAAATATATAAAACATTTCCCTATTCCTATAAGGCAAGAATACTGTTTTCCATTGCAAAAAAATGTTTTGTCTGATTTCTTGTTTTAATGGTTTAGAAGTTAAAATCTGCTGAAATTCCAGGCATCCTTGTTTACTTTAATAAGAACAAAATGTTGTCATGAGTCTTGTGCTTCACAAAATCTAAATAATTAGGCAAACTATGAAACTTGCAAGAGTTTCCCCTTATTCTGGCCTTTGTAAAATGTCAAAATTTGATTCAAAAACCATTACAAACTTTCAAAAAGTTTTTTTTTTTTATTTCAAAGACAGTGTTAGAATTTCAATGACTCTTTTAAGGATCAAAGATGTTTGTTTGGCCCTACAGCTGAGCTCAAATAGTAACAAAAATGATTCAGGCAAAATGTGTCAAATTTGTGTGCATGGCAGGAAATGTATCTGCTTAAGACATCCCCTCATACATCCAAACACACACACACACACACACACACACACACGCGCGCGCGCGCGCGCGCACACACACAGCCCAACATCCTTTACCTTTGCATGCAAATTGTCAAGTTTGCATTTCCAGTAGTCTTTTCCCTCCCAGACTCAAACCTGTAGTCAAATGAAAGCCTCCATAGCATGCTGCTCACTTTCTTTAAACAGATGGCTAAAAAGAAATGAGCTCTCTTTCTGTGCCGTGTGCTGAGCAACGCTTTCCCCGATTCCAAGCACACAGAGGCTGCTGTTCCCTGTGATAGGAACGTGCTCTACTGTTGCAGTCTTTCTAATCATCTTTCACAGGCAGCTCAAGTGCCCATGCAAATAAGGCTGACTGATAAAAGTCTGTGTTTACCCAGGCAAAGGGATAATCTTATCAATAATGAATGAGTTTGCTTTTTGTACCGTGTGCCGTTTATTTCTACGAACAGAATTCTTCCAAGATGAAAGTTTTCTTTGAAAAAAAAAAATAAACAAACAATAGCTACTGTTGCAATGTCATTTTCCAAACATAAATAGCTTAATTAAATAAATATATATGTACGAAACCATAAAAGTTTTGTCTCTAAAGCAGAGATGCCCACAGTGGGGCCCGTGGGCCAAAATTGGCCTGCCAAGCCATTTCATTTGGCCCACCAGCAGTTGTCCTGGTTATTAGATTGTAATCTCCAGTCCTGTGTAGAAACACTATATTTCCACTTTTCAACCATTGGTCCAACTACAGGTACAAGGAGCTGAAGTCAGATAGTCTTAACTCATGGTACTCACTTTATCTTTGAATTATGTTTAGATTAAACATAAAATATAAGTAACTACAAGAGACATTTATATTAGATTTAAGCACGCATCTAGATTTGCCCACATTTATATCACATACACTCAAATTTTAATTTGTGAAAACTCCCATGAGCCTTTGCTGCCTGAGCACATGTTGAATTTTCTCCATGTCCATGGGCTGAAAAAAATGAATGTGGTCAACTGCACTGGCTGCTAGCTTATTCATAAAAATAAAACAACTTTACTTAAGAAGCGTTTGCATTTCATGTATTATATTACTGCATTTGGCCCGCGGCCCTCAGATTGATTTTAATTTTGGCCTTCTCAGGCAAAATGTTTGGGCACCCCTGCTCTAAAGTGAAGTGAAGAGAAAGAAAAACACCAGATTTTGCTAACTTCACACAAATYGCAATAAAGCCGTACTCAGATCAATGTTTGAAGAGAATGTGTTCTTCATTAATTGTTGCTTTCAAAGCAGCACCTTTTTTTGCTCCACTTGGTATTTTTGAGAGATCGGTTCCTTCAGCCGTCTTTGAACTGCCACAACTTTGATTCCATCATTTAAAAAAGCGAGGGCTTTGTGCAGATCACAGCATCTTTAGCAGAACTCCTTGTTCCTTGTGTCACTGAAGACAGTCTTCAATGGCTGCGTGTGTGAGGACTGAGAATGAGGGGACACTCGCATTGTGCAGCTGAAAAGTATCTATAAATAAAAAATGCAGAAAAGGTTGAAACCCCTGAACTTTGTTCACATTTTGCCTCACATTGCAGGAGCTTCGTGTTCTTTTAGCTCACCGTATGGCCCAGTTTTCTATAAGGGACAACRTTTTGTCTATTTTTTTTATTTTTTTGGTTCAAGCATCAGACAGGATGAAACGCTTTGCATGTGAAGCGAGAATGAAAATTCTGCCTAGCTTTGCATTAGCCACGAGTACTTATTACAACCTTCCCATCCATATGAGGGTGGTGAGGTATAATAGATCTAGTGGAAAAATTGACCTAAGATCTGTGAATTAATTTGTTTGCAGGAGCCATTGCCGCCGCAGACGAGATGCCTGCGTTGTGGGGACGTACTGGAGTGGTCAGAAGAGCACAGGTGTGTGCATGCAGATGTAAAACAGAAAGACATTAAGTTTAGTTCTCAACTGGCAACACAACYACAGTAACTAGGATAAGTTTTTATTTATAACTTCATATATAAATGTCCTAACTGTGTGTGAACGGTCTCTGGATCAGCTGAAAATAGTCACCAGTCTTCTCTTAGATCAGCTCAGGAAATTAGATCCAGTGATTTGTGCATTAGTCACAAATCTTAACTAAYGCCAAGTAGATTATTTTATTGAAATATTCATGAGACATAGACTTTTCTAAGCTGTAGAAAGGAACTGTTTTGTATAATGYGAGTAAAGCTGATTCTATGAAGAGGATTATGGCTCTGCTGCCAAACCGTAAAACATCGACAAAAACCTCCACTTCTCTTTATTTTTTTGTTGTTTTGAAATAAAGACTCAAAACAATATTTACCGCTTTAAGATAAAATTCATAGTTTTGTGATTAAATTACCGAGCTTGTCTGGAAATTGTACTGCTTGACACCATTAAAGCAGAACGTGATGACTCATCGCTCTCGCTGAGTCATAGAAGTAACAAGAGCTCTAAAACCTTTGTTTTATTTTTGTCATTCCAATTTGTTGTATTTGTTCCCAGATTCTTTTTTTTTTTAATCTTTTGAATTATGTGTTTAATGATATAACACTTATTTCACCAAAAAAATGTGTCATATTTGTTGGCACATTATTAGTATCTGAACACGTTCATGGTAAAATGTTGTAATTTTAACAAAACATGACGAGTGCTTTTGCTGAGCAGAGCTTTTATTAACGTGCCAAAAAAAATTGGCACCAAGTCATTTTTAAATACTTAAAACATTCTTGTATTTTTTTCTTTTTCCTTTTTGAAAAACAACTTTCTCATGTTTTATGTGCGAGTAAAGAAACAGACTTTCCATTTAGACAATAGAAGTGCTCAATAGAAATGTAAAACTTATTCTGTATTTTAAGTTATTATATAAAATATTATGACATTTAGTGACAATATAGTGTCAAAATATTTTTGTACTATAAATTTGTCCTGATTTTATTTATTTATTTTTTATTTATTTATTTTTTTTTTACCTCTGACCTATAATAATGACTTCTAAGACTGGGGACATAATCTGTTTCCAGTTAAATATGAACGTTGCCAATAAGTCACTCAAAGCATAATATAACAACAACACAAACAGCCTGAACATCTGCCTTAATATTTGCATCTATKTATGGAAGCAAGCACTGCAATGTCTTGTTCCTGTTTTGCCGATAACTATTGTTTTTTTTTTTCTCCAGAAATTCACATATTAATGAAAACTCTGCTCTCTTTTGGATTCAACTTCAGAGTTCTTGTTTGTGGCCCCGTGATATAAAACACAACCATTGGTCTGCATGCACAAATGTGTGATGACTCTTAGGCAAAGAGTTCAAACACAGCAGAGAGGGAGGGGTAGACACCTGCATGTTATCCTTATTTCCACTTTAATTCTACGTCCTGCTGAAGTTTACATTAGTTCTGCTTCAGAAAACAAAAGAGGGAATTCCAGCACACCACGTTTAAGAAGAATAACAGAACTGAATTTTTTGGGCATGTTCTGAATTAACACAGAAGAAAAACTTAGAGTAAATTATTTTTTATACAGTATACCAA